CATGAGACAAAGTATATGTGAACTGCTGTATGAAAAGTGAATTTACTCTGTAAATCTTCACCCAAATCCTAATAAAAAAAAAAAAGAAAACCACAATATTCAGTAACAGTTTACTTTTGACATTGCCTTTATGTCCTATAGGGATTTAAAATGAAATAATCTGAGACTGGATGTTAATGAGTCTTTATGTAGAACAGGCTGGAGAAACTGAGGTGATACTAGTAACCTTGTAATTCCTTTCACACATCTGAATTTTTGTAGGATGAAATCGCCACCATTTTTCTCACTTTCAAAGGGAAGATGAGTGTTTTACATTAATGTTAAGAGTAAGGGATAATATGAGAGATAAGGTTGAATATATGGCTTTTAGATTAAATAGGAAGGACATAGGACTCCATCAATTAGTGGCATTACAAGGCTTCTAAGACCAAGAGGGTAAGTTTAGTCCACATACCTGTTAATTAATTTATTCAGTTCCACTGTAAAAGACTGCCCCTCCCCAATCATTTATTGCCTATTAGAACATTATCATTGGTCATAAAGGAAAGTTAAAGAAGAATAATCAACACCACTTAGGTGATTACAAAAATGATATTAAAGAAGAATGTTGTAACCTAATAACCTACAAGTATCATCTCCATCCTAAAATCCTATCAGAGTGCAGAGGTAGTTTTCACGAGAAAAGGCCCTGGCCAATTTCCTGACATCCTAATCCAGCTAAGTTGTTTCCAAGGCACTTACTCCCTTTACATCCTCACTAATACCTAAAGGAAAAAACAAATTTAATTTGCATAGTGTACTAGTGTGCTTTCATCCAGACTGTATGTATATGATCTCATTTGATTCTCACCAAGCTATTAGACAAGTGGTAATTATGTTTAGTAAGGGCGTAACATAAACACTGAGCAAAAACACCCCTCTCTCCAGGGCCTACCAGTTGGAATTTAGTAACTTGTAAGAGGAATTGATCATACAATTCTGTAAGTTTCACTGGGAACTAGGCAGAATATTCAAAGAATGAAATTGCCAACGGTAACAGCAATGCCTCAAACGATACAATCAGTAACTCTAGCAAACAGACAAAAAGACTCACCTGTGCAGGTACTCAAGGTACTGCTTACTGCCCCTCTGCGATGTAACACCGCTTTAAAGTCATATGAAATAAATTACTCGGACCAAAGCTCAGGCTGGGACAGTCTACCTTATTCTAGAAAAAGAACTACTCCTGTCACAAACATTTCATCATGGGAAATGAATTGGAAATATTATCACAGGCCTAAAAATCTCCATAGCTTCTCCACTCCAGAATAATCCAAGAATTTCAATCCCTGCCAGTGGTGATACACAATCTACATGTAAATCAACACTACTTCCAGGCAGTGACTCTCACTTTATTCTACAAGCAGTACCATCGAGCCATATCACCAAGCCCCACATCTGTAACCTAACCCCATTAAGAAACTGTATCATCACTGACAGGCCACTCGAAGTTCAAAAAGATCCAGACTTGGCTATAGTAGCGTACAGTAAGGGCACTGCTAAAGCAAAACAAAAAGGCTACCTCCCCAGCTTCCAGACACTCCTGCTCAGCCAACACCCATCATTCCCTGGACCTCACATCGCACAGACTCAGTTGGCCGGACCGCCACGGGGCAGAGGGTGCCCCCACCACTCAGCCTGGGCCACGACTCTAGGCCACCCTTCCAGAGCTCACCGCCATGGAGGGCTGGGAAACATCTTTACTGTGTCCCCACACCTGGAAAGTCCAGCCTGGAGACAGCGTCAGGCTCTCTGACACCTAATACCCCAACAAGGGGCAAGTCCTGCACCAGGACTGTAGCGAGACAGAACGTTTCCGCACCCGAGGTTAGCGCAGAGCTTGTCTCCACTCAGAGTCCCACACGACCCATCGCCCCTCGCCGCACCGGGGAGGGCGCCGGTGCCCCTAGCCAGGCGGGCAAAGGATACAGTCCCGGCTCCAGAACGCCGCAGCGCTCGGGAGGGAGGGGGCCGCAATGTCCGCCATCTTGAAACAACCGCCACTCGGGGTGTCGCGCCGGGGCCGTCCCGCCCCAGCCTCCAGGCTCAGTCCCCATTGGCCGCACAGCGAGGAGACCCGCCCTCGCTTGCGTGACCGGTACTGGCGGGGCAAGAGGGTCCCGGCAGAGGACCGGGTACATCCCGTAGGCGTGGTGTGCTGCGTAGGCCGGGATCGCGGGAACGAGAGCCGTGCGGAACTACTACTCCCAGACAAACAGGGAGCTCCCATCTCTGCCCCGCCGCGTCCTCAGGCGCGGAAAACTACAACTCCCGACATGCCACGAACTTGACGGCTGAGGCTCTGAGGCGGGGTCCAGTTCTCCTCTGACCAGCTCGCCACTCCTTGCCGGTCCCCGACGCTTTCCCGGCCGCGCGGAAAGAGGACACGAGCCATGGGGGAGAAGTCGCCCCCACTGCTGGGTGGGAACAAGCCGCACCTGGAGAAACTGACCCTCGGGATCACCCGCATCCTAGGTGAGTGGGGCCGGGAGCGGGGGTGGAGGTGACTGGGACCAGGCGGGATGATGTAGAAGAAAGGTGCGAAGGGATGCTGTGCGGAGTGGGCGGCATAGCGCTGGATCCTGTATACGAGTAGGCATCACTTCTGTTGCTAAGGAGGAAAGAGGGAGAACTGGATGCGTGACTCGGCCCAGAAGGGGTTGCCGGGAGTGCTCGAAAGCAGAAATGGGAAGCCCAAAAGTCCCTCCAGAGGTCCCACCATGAAGCCCAGGAAGAATGGGCAAACACATGCAGAGGAGACCAGCACGCACATGACAGTTGGGTTGTAGTAGTTGTTGTTGTTAGGTGTGGTCGAGTCCTTTCCAACTCATAGCGACCCTATGCATAGCAGAAGGAAACACCGCCTGGTCCTCCGCCAGCTCCATGATCCTTGCTATACTTGAGCCTGTTGTCGCAGCCACCGTGACAATCCATCTCCTCGAAAGCCTTCCCCTCTTTCGTGGACTCAGCACCTTACCAAGCATGACATCCTTCTCCAGGGAGTGGTCCCCTCTGACAACATGACCAAAGTAGGTGAGACGAAGTATGGCTATTCTCGCTTCCAAGGAGCGTTCTGGCTGTACTTCCTCCAGGACAGACCTGTTAGTTCTTTTAGCGGTCCACGGTACTTTCAGCATTCTTGGCCAGCTCTCTCAACTCTAACTGCCGTGGAGTCGGATTCGATTCATAGTGACACCTCCTTGGGTTTCCACAGGGGTATCTCTACGGAGGTAGATTTCCCAGCGTTCAAAAGCATCAATTCTTCTTCTTTCTTCCTTATTCATTGTCCAGCTTTCGCATGCATATGAAGCGATTGAAAATACCATGGCTTGGGTCAGTCACACCTTAGGCCTCAAGGAGTCATCTTTGCTCTTCGGCACTTGAAAGAGGACCTTTGCAGCTGACTTGCCTAGTGCTATACGTTGTCTGATGTCCTGACTGCTGCTTCCATTGGCGTTGATTGTAGAACCAAGCAATGTGAAGTCTTTGACAACTTCAATGTTCTCTTCGTTTATCGTGATGCTGCTTATAGGTACAGTTGTGAGGATTTTTGTATTCTTTATATTGAGATGTAATCCATACTTCAGACTGTATTCTTCAGTCAAGTCATCCCCACTTTCAGCAAGAAAAGTTGTGTCATCAGGTTATTGCAAGTTGTTAATGATTCTTACTCCAATCCTGATGCCATGTTTTTTTTTTCATATAGTTGGGAGCTCTGGTAGCATAGTGCCTAAGGCACTTGACTGCTAACCAGAAGGCTGGCAGTTCAAACCC